GAGATCCTTTATAAACATATTTTTTAGAAAGGCCAGTCTGACACCTAATTTGAGCATTTAATGATGAATTACTGAATTAATTTAATGAATTTTCCACTGGTACTGTATGTTTTCACATACTATACATAAAAATAATAAAATTTTAGCATCCTTTATATACTTTCTTGTTTCCTTTTAGAGACTGCAGTTGCTTTTATTGAATCCTCTAAAGGAACTGTCAAACATTAGTCACCCTGATATCAGGATCAAGCAGTTGGAGTGTGTGTTACAGATCTTGCAAAGTCAAGGTGACAGCTTAGGACCTGGTTGGCCACTGGTGCTTGGAGTCATGGGGGCAATCCGAAGTGATCAGGGGTAAGTGGTGGAAATAAATAAAGTTTTTAGATCATGTAAGATAAGAACAGTAGAAAGAATTCGGCCTTTATTTTCTTATTTTAATAAGCACTTCAATAATAGCCGTAATTTTCATTGTCATTTTTAGCTTGTGAACAATTTTACTCAACAAAAATACAGTTGTTTTTTTTTCCCTGTAGTACACACTTATTTTACTGAATTAATCTTTCAGAAGACTGGAGTTCAGTTGCACTCTACCCTGTGGTCAGCATACAATATACACTGAGGAATACCCCTCGTGCCAATTCATTTGATCTTAACCATCTGCCAGACACATCTCTGGTGCTTGCAGATAATTCTGTATGACTTAGCTGTTGCTCACAGTTGTTCTGTTGTTTCCTTTTGTTTCATAAATCTTCAGGTAGTCCTTAGTGTGTGTCATCTTCTGAACATGCTCTCTTTCTATTGAAGCCTTCCTCCCTAAATGGCTGCTGGTAGCACAGAGGTGGAATATTATTTACTTGCTCTGAGTGCATCCCTTGACTAACACAGCTGACTCTGCCGCCAGCAGAGGGAGAATGTTACTGGACTGGTCCTGTTGCACAAAAGGGAAAGTGAGAGGTGAAGTTGCAAGGAGTTGTGGGGTTTTTGGTTTTCAAATGAGCAATGAAAGAAACTTCTGACTTTGGAGCTGTAAGCACCAAGAATGGTACCCATATACCTCAACCATATTATTCCTTCTTTGATACTAGTCAAGACTAGCACGAGGATAGATCATCAGATAATTCTGGTATCAGAAGAATTCACCTTGACATATCTCTCCTTTCGCCCCACCCCAGCATTTGTCTTCTGGCCATATGAAGACCCCCTAAAGCACCTTCAAATGCTTGAAGGATTTGCTCTGGCAGTAGAACTCACCAAAATCCCTAAGGATGTTGTCGTTCTTGGCTGTGAGCATCCTCTTTTTGGTAACCATGCTTGCTTTGGTACCTGCTGTTTCCGCAACTGTGCAATTTGTTCCGTGGTTCCTACGTGGCTTTTGATTTTCACCGTTGTTGATGGGTCAGAACCGACACACGTTCCTTCTCAAGACAGTCTTCAGATCACTTTACATCTCAAACCCATACCTTACGGGCAGATATCTCAAGACATTACAAAGAACTGGAGTTATATCTTACTGTCCTCCTTCAAAGCAGATACAGTTGCAAGAAAAAGCATGTGAACCTTTTGGAATTTCATTGTGTTCTGCATTAATTTGTCATAAAATGTGATCTAACCATCACCTTAAGTCAAGAATACTGACAAATATAATATGCCTAAAATAATAACACAAAAACAATTCTGATCCTCCGTGTCTTTATTGAACGCACTCATTCAACATTCAAAATGCTAGTGGAAAAAGGAAGTGAACCCTTGGAATCAATGACTGGTTGAACCCCCTTGGCAGCAGTTACCTCAACCAGGCGCTTCCTGTAGTTGTGGATCAGACCTGCACATCGTTCAGGAGGGATTTCAGCCCATTCTTCTGGCAGAACTGCTTTAGCTCTGTCATATTCTTTGGACATCTCATGCCTATGGCTCTCTCCAAGTCATTCCACAGCATCCCTGTTGGGCTCAGGTCTGGACTCTGACTTGGCCACTCCAAAAGGTGGATTTTGTTTTTCTGAAGCCATTCTGTTGTGGACTTGCTCCGGTGTTCTGTCTCATTGTCCTGTCACATCACCCAATGTCTGCAGAGTTTCAGCTGATGTACAGATATTCTCACATTATCCTGAAGAATTTTTTGATACACTTGGGAATTAATCTTCCCCTCAATGACTGCAAGCTGACCAGGCCCTGATGCACCAAAGCACGCCCAAATCGTGATGTTTCGTCCACCATACTTTACGGTTGGGATGATGTTTTCATGATAATATGCAGTGCCCTTTTTACACCAGGTGTAGTGCTGCGTGTTCTTTCCAAATAGTTCGATCTTTGTTTCATCAGTCAACAAAACACTTTGCCAATACCACTGTGGAGTGTCAGTGTGCTCTTTCAGAAACTTCAGACGTGCAGCAATGTTCCTTGAAGTAAGCAGCAGCTTTCTCCATAGTGTCCTGCCTTAGACACCCTGCTTGTCCAATGCTTTACATACTGTAGGCTCACGAACACAGATGTCAGCCGGTTCCAATGCTGCCTTCAACTCTTTGTCTGTCACTCGGGGTTGTTTCTTTACCTCACTGATGAGTCTTCATTGTGTTCTTGGGGTCATTTTGACTGGGCACTCACTTCTTGGTAGAGCAGCCACAGTCCCAAAGTGTTTCCATTTGTAGATCGTTTTCCTGACTGTAGGCTGGGGAATTTCTAAGGTCTTTAGAATCACTTTGTAACCCTTTCTGGCTTTATGTAAATCAACAATTCCTGTTCGTAGATCCTCTGAAAGCTCTTTTTGGAGAGGCGTGGCTCACATAAGCATACAGCTTGTGCAGCGCAAACTCAAAAAGTTTAAGTAGCTTTTATCAGTTAACATAGCTCCAGTCCACACCTCCAAGCTCATTTTCTTAATGAGACTCCAGATTAACCTGCCTCAGATTAGCTTTTTTGAGGTCAACTCAAGGGTTCACTTCCTTTTCCTACTAGCATTTTGAATGTTGAATGAGCATGTTCAGTAAAGGCATGGAGGATCAGAATTGGTTTTGTCTTGTTATTTTAGACACATTATGTTTGTCAATACTCTTGACTTAGATGACGGTTAGATCACATTTTATGACAAATTGATGCAGAACACCATGAAATTCCAAAAGGTTCACATACTTTTTCTTGCAACTGTAGAATAATCGAGTTTTCTTCAACTACATAGCATGGTTTCCCACATTGTGTCAACTGCAGTAGGAAAAAAAATAGTCTCCTTTTCCTTGGGAAACAACTGAATTTCTTACCTCGCTCATAGCTGTGAGCACAACATGCAGGCACTATTGTCATACTTTAGATAGAAACTTTTTGACTGCATGTCTTTCTCACAAGTGACCCTCTGGTCAGTCAACATCCCGGATTCCAGGGCAGAAATCTATTTACCTGGACTAGATGAAATCTAGAGGTCCCTTCCAACCCCTAACATTCTATGATTCTATGCTGAATTTTTTCCTGGAATGTTTATTCTGAAGGACAATAAATTTCTGTATTACAAACCTTTGGATTTTTTTCTTTTGTACGTTAAATATTAAGCATTAAAAAAATCAACCTATAGTGAAATTTAAATGCAGCTTCAGTATTTTGTATTATCTACACTCTACCACTCCTTCCGATTCCTTCATTTTGTCTCTCACTAAGTATGGTTTTAGTTGTAGATGACCTTGCTGCTTCTGAGTGCTCCTTCTCACAAACCTTTTCTATACTACACTTTTGTTTTATGTTTGTATTCAGAATTTCATTTCAAGGGAAAGTATTTATTAAAGTTCTATTTAATGTCAGATATTTTGATAAGATGTTGCTTCAATATTACATTATATTAGACAAGTAAGCCTACCTTTACATTAGCAAGCATCTTTCATGACAAATAAATCTGTATTTTGCCTGCGTGTTCAGTGTACTTTAATTTGTAACTGCTGATACAAGAAATTATTCAGAACAGCTTAGTCTTTGGAAGATTAAAGATGTTGTCTAATATAATGTAATATTGAAGCAAGTAAGCCTACCTTTACATTAGCAAGCATCTTTCATGACAAATAAATCTGTATTTTGCCTGCGTGTTCAGTGTACTTTAATTTGTAACTGCTGATACAAGAAATTATTCAGAACAGCTTAGTCTTTGGAAGATTATCATGCTTAAGCTTTGTTTTATCCATTGTAGCTTTTTTAGAATGTTTTATCTGACACATTTTAACTAACAAGTGGACTTCACTGTATAAAACTACTGAGGATTCTAAACTTCAACTTCACTGAATAGTTTACATGTACTAAAATACTTGATCAGAATTTGAAGCTTCAACTTAATGTTGTATCTCAAAAAGAACCTCTAGTTGAAACATTTTAAAATATCACAGATTCATCTCAGAAACATTAAATGCATTTTTTTTAATAGTGCTATCTCTTGAGGTATTGTATTCAGAACATCCCTGTGCTCTTGAGGAAAATTGAAATGAGAGTGTGTGTTTTCTTTTTTTTTTTTTTTTAAGAGAGTCCTTAATACGGACTGCATTCCAGTGTCTTCAGTTGGTTGTGACAGACTTTCTCCCAACAATGCCATGTACATGTCTGCAGATAGTTGTTGAAGTTGCAGGAAGCTTTGGACTTCACAATCAAGAGCTAAATATTAGCTTAACTTCAATTGGTTTGTTGGTGAGTTTTATATTAACCTACAGTGATGCCACTTCTGGCACTTCTTTTTATAAATGAAAATTAATATGTAGTCAGTTTTACAAATGAAAGCCAAAACCTGTTTTCTGAGTTCTTACTTAACTCCTGTGCTGTCATTTAGAATCGTGTGTAAATTGAGCAAGCACAATTTATCTTTAATCTGCATGACTCCAGAGTTAGTTAAAGAAATACTATTTTGTTGTAACCATGTTCATCAGCATCTTATTCTTAATGCTTATACTTCATGTATACGCTTATACTTCATGTATAAGCAGGACCTAAAAGCTGAGGCTAAGAAAAATGATTTCTGCACCTTACAGTATTTCTGTGCTGATCTTCTTCCATCAGTGTAGGGAAACGTACTTCACAAAATGCTTCTAAATGCGAAAATGAGAAACAATTTATCTCATGATCATTAAGGGCGTTATAATATTTTTATTGTACAACAGCATATGTCTTATTTATTTTGTAGTGGAATATTTCGGACTATTTTTTCCAAAGAGGTGAAATAATTGAGAAGGAGTTAAACAAGGAAGAAGCAGTGTTGCAGAAACAGGCCGAAGAAAAGGGAGTGATGCTGAATAGACCTTTTCACCCTGCACCACCGTTCGACTGCCTTTGGTTGTGCCTGTACGCCAAACTGGGAGAATTGTGTGTGGATCCCCGACCTGCAGTTAGAAAAAGTGCCGGGCAGACGTTATTTTCTACTATTGGTGCTCATGGAACTTTATTGCAGCACTCAACATGGCACACAGTAATATGGAAGGTATGATGTGTAAGCTTCCACTAAAGGTTTTTTTAAATTGCATTTGCATTGTAATGATAATTAACATGATGGTTTAATATCATTTAGCTAGTTTATTAAGACTTCTAAAAGATAACATACAGTGGCAAAAGTCTGATATCTTAGGTTTTGGGGATGAGGGGTTGTTTTTACATTTTCTCTAGCCCTTAAGGACTCTTATTAAATGTCATTTTTGTGCCTTGATCATTGCTTTCTTACTCAGGAGTTGAATAAAAAGGCTGTTCCCTTCCAACAAGAATGAGTGGCTCATTTTTTTGTGCTAAAGTATGGAAACGTGATGGTAATGTGGTTGGACTGACCTGATACTAGACTGAGCTTTGCTTTGTGCTCTCTTTTGGCTCTCTTATTTGAGAGGATCTGTCAAATGCCCTGTTCTAGGTCACAGTTAAGCTGGTTGTGCCTGATGGAAAGATCAGGCCTTGTGGAAAAAACAGTCTGCCTGTTGGTACGTACCTGTGAGGTACATACGTCTGAGATCAGCTGGTTTTAGCCTCCTGTTTGTGCTTCCGCTGTTCTCATTGTTTGATCACGCAGTTCCTGACTCTCCTCAGGTGAACCTCAGTTGGCTGATTCTTACTCTTAGCTCTTGCAGGGATTGTTTACAACAAGGGAATCCTCAAGGTGACACAGTGATAGAAGAGATGATGAAAAAATTACCATTTTTTGTTGTTGTTTTAACACGAGTACAACTCTTTTTTTTTTAAAAAAAGTTGCTTTTGTTCCTCTTTTTCCGACTATTACAGGTTTTATTTCACCTGTTGGATAGGGTTCGAGAATCTTCTACCACGGCCGATAAAGAGAAGATTGAATCAGGAGGAGGCAACATTCTTATCCATCATTCAAGGGATACAGCTGAGAAACAGTGGGCTGAGACATGGGTATTAACACTGGCTGGAGTCGCAAGAATATTTAATACTAGGAGATATTTACTGCAGCCTTTAGGTAAAATTTATAATTTAAAGTTATTGAAAGATACGTAATAACCTTTCCACTTTTTGTGCATTTTTTTAGTTCAAGTACTGGACAAGAATCTTAATGTTAGCTTAAAAGTGTGTTTTGTTGTCTCTCACCTCAAATGTGATGCAAATTGTGGAGTTTTTATTTCATGTTCTGTAGAACCAAAAGTTGTAAGTACCAATTTCATCTTCTGTATCACATCACCAGTCACAATTCTGGGTGCCAAACAGCTTTAATTTGTAGTAGCCTGATAACAGTAATAATTTTTTTGTTCTTTTCATTGTCAGAACATGTTTTTCCACTTGTCTTTTTAAGATTTTTCAACTATGGTATGAAACTCTTCTCTGACATCAGTGTATCAACTTTAGCAGTGCTCTTATGCTGTAAAAAGAACTCACTTGTAGAGTGAGGGAGATATTGAACATTTACATTGTTCGACTGTACATAGTAATATTTTACAATAGCTTGGTACATGAACTAATGTTTAATTTCTAGAAGAAGAAGGTGAAAAAGAAATAGGAAATGTATAGCTTGCAAAGACAATTCCTCATTACATTAGTATACCTTCACCATCTCATGCTATGCAACTAATATTTATAACTAGAAGTAAATTGTGTTCTATTTCATTTGAGTTTTATGGTACAGATATCAACATATTAATAGCTATCAAGAGTATTGGTCATTTTCAGAATTGTAGTGGATTTTAAACTATATTAAATTTGAGTTGAACCAGGGCTATATTAATTATACAAATTCTGTAATTAGTAACACAGAAAATTGAAGTTTAAAGCTAAATTTAATGAAAAACTCAAAACTCAAAAAAATTAAATCTTTCTCCACAGCACAGTAATCAGAGCATTTTAAAATTCTTTATAAATGCTTTGCATGACTATAGATTTGACTTTTAATTTCTTATGCGTGCTTAATGCTTTTTGAAATCAACAGGCATCTGGTACATATAAGAACAAACATGTTTCACTACCCTGAATAAAGAAAATGTATTTTTTCTGGTATGGGATTTGATATATGATTTTTCACTAGCAAATTTGACAGAAACATAGATTTATGGTTTCATTCTTTATGTATTTGTGTTTCATTCTTTCTGGTTGCGGTTGAACTGATATATTCTGAAAGTCACTCAAGCCATCGTCTAACCTCATGAAATTTCTCCGTATTAGAGTAACAAGTACATGAACAGCTTTGTAGAGACAGGATGGGTGGGAAGGGAAGTAGGAAACCACTTCCAAGCTCATTTTTTTTTCTCTCCCTTTTTTTAAATAGGAGACTTTTCCCAAGCCTGGGATGTTCTTCTTGATCACATCCAATCAGCAGCACTCAGCAAAAATAATGAAGTTTCCTTGGCTGCTCTGAAAAGCTTCCAGGAGATCTTACAAATCGTTTCTCCTGTGCGAGACACGGAGAAGCCTGATACTCCACCTGCCATCAACGTTTCTGTGCCTGTGGTGGTAGGCACAACAACTGCCACTAGTCTTGGCAGGTCGTTCATCAGAACTGACTCCATAGGAGAAAGAATAGGAAGGTACAATGGATCTGAACCACCTGTAATAACAGATGAGATCGAAGATTTGAATCTTTGGTGGGCAGCCTGGAACAGCTGGTATAGGATTGGTTCAGAAAGTACAAGGCCTCCAATGACTTGTGATAAATTGACTTTCATTCCCAGCCAGCCTTTTCTTACAGCTTTAATTCAGATATTCCCGGCTCTCTACCAGCACATCAAAACTGGTTTCAGCATGGATGATCTCCAAAAGCTGGGTGTCATTTTGCATGGTGCTGTTTCAGTTCCAATCAGTTCTGATGCTTCCCCTTTCATCCTTCCATCTTACACCGAAGCAGTTCTGACAAGTTTACAGGAAGCGGTGCTTACAGCTTTAGATGTTTTACAAAAGGTAATAATGCGACTTCAAATGCATGGTGAAAGGTAAACTACACTGTGTCTCAGTTCTTCTTCTCATAACTATAGTGTTGTGACTGAAGGATGAATTTTAGAATTATTTATAATGGCACAGTGCACGGTATTAGAACAATCAGGTCTCCACTTCTGGTGCAACCTGGACATTTGGCATTGAAAGGAGTGGTGTAATCTTTATTAAGTGCACTTTTGTGATTGTAGAAATACCTTAAGTGTCATGCTGTTTGCAGCTATTTGCTTGTCTATCTAGTATTAAAGTATTGTACTATTAGGAAGACCTGTACTTGGAGTTGGGGGAACAGTCCTACTAACAGTATTGCTTCGGTTGCCCAGGTACTGCCATGAACAAAATCCGGCAGAACAGTGATCATGAGAACTTGAGGTTCATGCAAAACGTAAAATATAAAAACATCTCTAGCAGACCCTCTGACTTCTTGCCTCTTATTAATCAGTTGCTTAAGGAAAGTGCTGCATATCTGCTTAAGAATTTCTTAGTATAGTGCTATCCTCAAAGAGTACCCCTCATGCAAGTGAATCTGGTGTGGAATTAGGGTGCCCTTTTTATAGATAGATAAAAAAAAGAAAAAGTATTGCTTCTTTCTTTCTGGATTTTTAGAACATCTCCTGATAAAATACACTGTTCATTCAGAAAACTTATTTATTCAAAAGGAGCAAAATAGGTAATGAATGAGATCATGCATTTGTCTTAAGCATTGCTTTTACAAAACCAAACCCTTAAAAGAAACCCACCTCGGAAATGCCAGAATTAAAACTGTCCATGTGACCTGTCTTCATCCTCTTTGGGTTTTCATGTTATGACTCCATTGCTTAACTATGTGTTCCTACCTCTGTCCCCCACCCCCAACAAAGTGGGCATTTTGCTCGTAGAAGACACGGTGCCTACTAAATGAACAGCAGTTCAGTATTTTGTTTTCTTTTTGCTTAGTGTGGATTGACTTATCCTATACTTATTAAACTCCACAAGTGAGGCAGAATCGTTATCTTTCAGTCATTCCTTTAGTTTATGCATTTAACAAATATTCATGAATATATTTTGAGAACAAAGCTGTAAGATTAGAACTTGGTATTAAATTTCTGTTTTGTATGTTGGGATATAAATGCCCTGAAATTTCAACACCAGTTATATCCACTAAATTTTCATCTTTCTCCAGTCAGGCTTGACTCATTTGTACCCTTCTCTTTCCAGCAGCTTAGCCCTGCTCAAGTCCTGTTTTTCCCACTTTAATGACTCTGTATCTCAGATTTTTCTGTTTGTTTGGGTTTTTTTGCTCGTCTCCTTATCCAGATGTTCTTGGCTCCCAAAGGCTGCAGACATTAGCCCTTTTCAAAGAAGGGGTTAGCAGACTTTTAGCATGAGAAAAAAATGCATGTATTTTTTATACTCTTGGTCTTGTCAAGATATTAAACTATTTAAGCTGAAGTTTTCTTAAACAATGACAAAAGAAATAACTCCCCATGAGGAAGAGAGACAACCTCCCTTCCCATCTCCCAGTCAAAATGGTTAGCATGGCAGTTGCAAGGCTGTAAATACAGACTTACATAGGAAATCTTGGGTATCTCAATTTGTACAGTAGCTCCCACCCCATCTATAGTTATATTACTAACAGAACAGCACTAAAGTAACTAAAAAAAGTAAGTTAAAGTGTATTTGGACTGTGAAATCTCAGGATGGCTCCTCCTGGCTGTATAACAGTACAATTCACATGATAAGGCAGCTGGCCAGTGCTGATGTGGAGCAAAGGCCATCCGACAGATGGTGTTGCTGGGGGCCACAGTATCTTCTTCCTCTGTTGAAATGAATTAATACTCTCAAGAGCTCACAGAGAAGCTAGTGCAGCAGTTAAAGAAGAGTATGTAAGTACTTGCCCCCTTCTTTTCTTAACAAAATTTTCCTTACATGTTTGCCTCGTGGGATCAGATTCACTGCTGATTCAGGAAGATTTGGGTCAGTTGATTTCTAGTCTTTCACTTCTGTAGGATAAGTGCCTGCTTCCTCACTGTAGCTTAGTGAAAATTTATATTCAAGCCCAAGTTCTCTGATTATTTTTACTGCTTCCCTGCACTGACTCTGGGTCAACTCTACAGTGACCCAGCTGGCTCATCAGGCAGAGGAACACAGGTAAGTATCTGGGGATCAGAAACATTTGAATTCTGCCTCTGCAGACAGGATGGATGTTGAACCTCTCAAGCTGTGAATGTGCTAAACTCCAGGCTATAGTTACACGTGCTGTCAGAGATAGCAGAGGATAAGCTGCAGAGACCTGTAAAAAACCCCAGTAGTCCATGACAATAGTTGCACTGGGAGTTGTTAGATAAATCTGAACTATTAAAAAATGTGAATGTTAGTAGCAAAATGCTTTAAAGCATAAATTTCTGAAAGCGAAGTAGTGTGTTGATTTTTACAGCAATGATCTGCATTTCATTTCAGGGTTGGTTTGTGTTTTGTTGTTGCCTAACTTTCTAATTTATACCTGTCTCCTTTAAGTGTGTAAATAACTGCACGTAATGCAGTAAATACTACTCTGTTTTATAAGCATCTCTCAAAGATACTTTCAACATCCTCACACACTTCATTAGGCTATTTTTGAGTTTTTCACACGCTTAGATAAACATTACCTGGTGTCAGCCAGAAGCATGAACCTCTTTGAAAAGCAGATATAGTTAGATGAATTTTCAAGATGGATTTTCTAAGTGGCATCAGCATCCTTTTAAAAAATATTATATGGATAATTTTTAGAATTGAAAATACACCAGTAGAGTGAATAGAAAACACTTCTATTTGTAAAATAAAAATTTTACAAGCGTTTCATAAAATATGAATCATAGAATTGTATCAGCTGGAAGAGACCTGGAAGATCATTGAGTCCAGCCTTTGTCCCAGCCCAATCAACCCATTAAACTATGTCCACGAATGCAACATCCACCCACCTCTTAAACACCTCCAGGGACAGTGACTTAACCACCTCCCTGGGCAGCCTGTTCCAATGGCTGACAAGCCTTTCAGTAAAGAAATTTCTTCCTAATATCTAACCTGAACCTTCCCTGGTGTAATTTAGAGTAAGAACCACCCCCGACGCAATGAAAAGTAAGAAGCTACTCGTGCACAAAACTCAAATAAGAAATAGTTATTGCTTTTGTTCACCAGTACAGAAAAGCAGCACGTGAAATTACTTTGCATTGATCCTGAAATTGTGATAAAAATCTAACAATGTGGAGTTAATAGATGAAATTACTTTGCATTGATCCTGAAATTAATAGTGATAAAAATCTAACAATGTGGAGTTAATAGCGAACATGTTTCAAAGTTTTGCCATTCTATGGGAAATGCAAGTTGCATCTGTGCAAGTAAGTTGTGTCTACGCAAAAGTTATCTAGGTCTTTGTAGACACTTTCTTTTTCTTTTTCTTTCTAATCCATGTGTTGGTACATAAAATAATATACCTTTTCTAATAGGTATGTAATCTTCCCTTAACCTTTTTATCAACTGAAATTGATTTACATGGTGTTGAATACTTTTAGATCAGCAATGAGCCTTTTAGTCTTCTGTCACCTGGATGAGTATCTAGCATGAAAGCATCTTTTTTGGAGTTCAGTACAGTCTTGAACTTGAGCACTGAAAAAGAAGTATGGCTTTTTAGAAGCAGTGCTGCATTATATTCATAATGTCGATTAAGCTCTTGGAGCATTAGACATGCATTTTGAATTGCAGGAAGCTGAGGGGAAAAGAAAGAGCCATTGATGGTTTGTGGAATGCTCTCCTGTAGGTTGTAGATTACCTGAAGGTGCAGCAAGGTCTTGGGGTGATCTAGTGATGACAGTGCCTGTAGCCCCTGTTGGCTTGCTCCCTCTCATGGCTGGGGACTCGCGATATTCCATCGTCTGCCACAGCTTGTGACACAGCCCCAGCGTGGAGGCTGCATTCAGACAACTTCGGACCTGTTGGCACCTTGAGTGAGTCCAGCCATGACTTGTCAGAGATAATCTCTGGTTAATGAAAAGGGGATTTGATCCCTCCCCAGAGAAAAAAGACAGGACAAGCACAAGGGTCTTTTTGTGGAGTAATAAATAGACTGTTTCTTGGAGCTTCGAGAGGAGAGATTTCAGGAGGAAAAGCAAGACATTTAAAATGAGAGAAAATAATTGGAGTAACTTCACAGGGTGATTGTATCTGGCTTTGAAAATAAATGCACTAAGATTTCCTTGGGATTTATATGGCAACAGGAAATCATTAGCCTATGACAGCATGATATTTCACTGACATCTTCTAAGTACGCCCTTTCAGAAATGTTTTCCATTTTAAAGCAAAATTATGAGTTTCAGCTACACTAAATGATATAATTCTCATTTTATTTATGTTCCTTCCTGTAAGACACAATTTTAACTGCTTATGAAAACCTTGTATGAATTACATACAATGTTCCTTGAAGTAGAATTTAAAGAAGGTGTGGCTGAGATCAACAGGCATAAGACTTATATTTTGCTGTCATGTCAAAGCAGAGTTTGGAAAGAAAAGATATCTTTTATTTGACCAAATATCTGTATTTACTAAACTATATATGCCCAGGTATCTTGCCACTTAATTTTTTGTAATGCAGTAACAAAACTTAATTTCCTTGAACTGTTAGAACTATACACTGTCTTTTATACAGAGTGATTCTTGCATAGTCTTGTATGGGATTTTTGTTTTGGAGCTCCTTGTATTGAGGCAGATTTTTGAGTGAAAGCTCAAGACATATATAAAGCTTTTTTTTTTTGGTATTTTCTTTTGATATAGGCTATATGTGTGGGTTCAGAAAGTATGCAGATAATGTATCCTGCAATCTTCGACCAGTTGCTGGCCTTTGTAGAATTTTCCTGCAAGCCTCCACAGTATGGACAGCTGGAAACAAAGCACATTGCAAATGCAAAGTATAATCAGGTAATTAATTAGACAGCTTGCTTGTTTCACTTGGCTGGTGAACCCAGTCCAGCTTCAGATACAGGTGATTTAGCAAGATACATTTATTCCATCTGTAAAAGCTTCACTGTGTGTGTTATGTCATAAGTTAATTTATTAGTATTTTTTCACATGCTTTTATCACCTTCATTTGCTCCCTTTGAATTCAACTTTGCTTTTATACTTTGTATTCCTCTGTGGAAAGGTCTTGCCTATTCCTCCATGTAAGTAAGTCTTGCCTGGACACCAGACATAGTGACCGTGTCTGTATTTGTTTGGTGAATTAATCTAAAATAATCTGTCCTACATGTGATATCACATTTAATAGAAGGTGATAATTTTGGAGAAAATTCCACCCAGCTGCAGATGATTGCATTGCACATACTGTAGAGAAATGGGACATGTTCAATAATTCTTTTTGTCTGTGTACTCTGCTGTTCACTAAGCATGAGCATCTGAGTCAGTGTAATCGAAGAGGTAACTATTATCTATGTATTAATTCTTCTTATTCTATTTGTCCTGCAACACAATGGAATCACACTAGATACAACTATTTGCACCGGTGAGTTAAATTTCCTTAAAGATTGTCTTAATGTAGTTGTCTTGCCTAGACTGCAACGTCTCTCCTACTTAAATGTACTCTACTTCAATGTAGAGTACATTTTCGTAGTCAGACTACATTGTATTTGCAGTTTTGTTTCTTGGACCATATTCTTAGCAAACCTTGCATGCATGAAACTGAGAGATCGATGCAAAGCATACATTTTCTGCTCCTTAATTACATATTTGCACATACAGTTCTGTAATTTACTAATTTCTTTTCCTAGGCGGAATGGGTAGCATTGAATTATGTACCATTTGCTGAGAGATCATTGGAAGTTGTTGTGGACTTATACCAGAAGACAGCTTGCCATAAAGCTGTGGTAACAGAGAAAGTTCTTCAGAACATTATTAAGGTAAAAGTTAGTGATCCATATGGTCTGAATTTAATGAGTTTACATTGAAAAACATGAGTTTTATTTTGAGCTAGTGTTGATAAACACTTCCTGGAAAGCTTAAAGCTTTAGTAAACAAATTGCTCTTTTATGAAGATGAGCAGCAGGTAGTAATTTCTTGTGAAGCTGCAAGGCAGTTGAATAGATTGTATGTATTGTGTTTTAGCTGGATAATGTCAGCATCAGTATTTCAATGTTAAGAAAGAAGTAAAGAAATGTTAAGCCACAAAATATTAATCTTTAAAAGTATTATGCATCTGACGCTGAGAAGCAGGCCTGTTAGTAAATATGACATTGAAGGCCTAAGACCAATTTCCATAAACTGAAAAATAGACTTGAGGGTTGTATGCTCTAGCTATTACTTCTGATTTGCTTTTAATGACTTTGTGTGTCATTGGTCTGGCTATGAAGTGCTATGGGTGCAAAAATTTGCCTTTTAAGGTGAAACTGCCAAACTCTTAACTTTTTTTGACCTTATTCCCGTTTTACCAAATAATTTTAGTAAATAATAGAAGTAGTAGTAAATATCTGGGGAAAAAAAATGTATGTGACCTTGATTTGTTTGTAATGACTTGGCTGACATCAGGTTGTTACTGTATAGAAATTTAGAAACTTGAATGTGTTAAAAATAGTTATGTGGTATTATTTGGAATCTCTTATGAATTAAAAATTTGTATTGCAAAGTTAATGCAATTGTTTCCCACTTCTGTTTAAACGGGATAGGTGAAACTAATACAAACACCACTTTTCTTTAATGTTTACAGTTGAGGTGATCTATTGCGGTGAATAAAAATGGGTTTGAAATTATTTTTCATGTTGATATTGGAATTAGACTTGACCCCTATGAACCATAGCAGCAGAAGAAAATACTCAATTTATCTGTAGGGTTAGATCCTAGTTCTCATAATTTTTGGCAATAGAGAGTTAATTATGATTGACTTTCTCTTGAGAGCAAGAGTGAGTATTTCCTCTTTCCCCCCTTTGCCTTCCTCAAATCAGAAACTTCATTGTGGTCATATGCGCAATGCCTGAATTTAATCACTGTATTTGCAGCGCAATTTAGTTTTCCAAGATAACTTGGTATTAGGATCTAGTTAGTTTGACTAACAATACAAAAAAGGATACTTATAGTGTAAATAGTACATATGCTTATTGTTTTTAAACTCATTAATAATTTTCTTTTGTATATATTGAAGCTGTCCTTCTATCCAAAACACTTAAAATTTGCAGTGTTTTCACCTGCTATACATTTCAGTTGTATTGCAGCCTTTATTTGAGAATTTCTCTAACTTCTTGCTTTTAAACTTAACATGGTTTTACAGTCAGCAATGACCAGGTGTCTTGCAGTGGTTCTGTATACGGTTTCACTTTTATGTATTAGGAAAAGTTTAAATTTAATGAAGCTTTCTTACTTCACTGTGGAAGCACTTCTAGGAATGGAATTAAACTCTACAGAATATGCTCATGAAAACAAACTGCTTGCAGTCTGCTGGATGTTAGGAGAGTCCATTTGTCAGGCTTAGCAGGAATGGTGGATGGCAATACAGAAAATCAGTTTGTAATTTCATAGCGTAATGGGTAATGGATCAACTCTAACTTCTAACCTTGTACTTGGCAACAGACCTGTGCTTTAGTCAGCTAGTATATGGTAAATCATCTTTATAATTATGTTTCTAAAATAACATCTCATATACCAGCAGAAAAGGTAGGGATGCGCACTATCATCTATGGTAGTGTCTGCCAAGATCCTGCAGAAACTTGTCATCTTCTTAGATTTGTCTGAACAACTATAAATTTTGTTTCAACTTTCATTTTGCAGACACTAAGAATACCTCTTAGTCTGAAATATTCCTGTCCTTCTGAAAGCACATGGAAGCTAGCTGTTTCCTCTCTTCTCAAAGTTCTCTCTATTGGACTACCTGTTGCAAGGCAGCACGCATCTTCTGGCAAATTTGACAGTATGTGGCCAGAGCTAGCAAATACTTTTGAAGACTTCTTATTCACCAAAAGGTAAACTCAATTTCTTTTTAAAAAAAAAAATATTGTTTTTAAACGGGAAGATATTTCTAAGTAGTTTGTTCAGTAAATGTGTCAGTAGAGTTTAGTAAAAATAGCCTTAGCTTTAGAGCTATACCTGAAAATTATTTTCATGAATGAAGGAAAAAAGTAATTGGTCTGTTTGCTTCAAAAAGGGTAGACATTTAGAAAGTAGTAGAAAAAAATTCTTTCAAAAAGTTAAATGTCAGGATGAGAAAGCACTCAACTGACCTCTGAATGCAATGCATTTCTGACCAGACCAAAGAATTCCATATGGACTCGCAAGGATATTTACTGTAGATTTCATAGAGTTAGTGATGTGTACTCAGTTTGTTCCTTTTTTCACTTTGAACAGAATTGCAACAATTTTTATTTTGTTTAGTTAAGATACTCCACTTGCTATGAATTTTTGAAAATTATTTCTTATATTCCTGTTCGCTTAGAAGCCCATAGTTATCTTGCATTTGTTTCTACCCAAGACAAATCAAGTGCACCTTAATAATTAACCATCCTTTATTTATAATGCTTTGTGAAAAGTTTAAATAGGCAGATTTATAAGTAGGCAGAACAGGCAGGTGTATAAGTACATGCATAATCTATCAAGAAGGAACACTGTAGATGTGGGCAGGCTGAGAAGGTTCAGAGTGGAAAATAATAGTTCTCAGAAACTTGGACAATCTGATCTATTAGTTTGTTCAACCAAAGGAATGTATCACTAGGAGGTCTTCAGAATATGGTAAAAGATTGCACCAGAGAATAATTTTTATTGTCCTTGAATCATAGAATCGTAGAATTCTGTGAGCTGGAAGAGACCTAGAAGATCATCAAGTC